TGAACCTTGGGCTTTAGGATGTGAATCTTTGTAGAGGCAGAGTTGTTATTGTACTTTTGGGATCAAAACTCCAGTTTCAAGTCTAGGTGTGGTGTTTTTTTACTCTGTACTTGTTTTTGAAGTAACTACTTTGACAAAGGATTTTTTGTTTCATGCAGAGTTTTTAGGTAACTTATCTGCTGCATTCTTGGTTTCAACTTTGTAGTCTTAAAGGCCTTCTTCCTCTTAATTATGTTGGCTAAGATAATCCTTAGATGATTTTTGTTAGAGATTATTCTTTTAACCTCCCTATTTAGAGTTATTTTTCTAACCTTTTCTTTGTATACTTAATGACCAACGCAACAGAAGAGAGATTAACTGCCATGACAAGGAACAGAAAAATCATCTCTTTTTACCAGAGTTGTTCTGTTTTTATGGCATTCTTCAATTTAGGATGAAATTCCTTTTCTTAAAGAAGAACTTTCATATTAGGCCGGTTTTGAAAGAAAGATCTTTTAAACAAAACAAAGATGTTTAATGTCATTTATCTCTTAATTAGTAAATGCGTTCACTTTTTGAAGTGTGACGGCCTCTTTCTAGCTATGCACGCTTTAACTTTACTGTTGTGGCCATCGGGTGTTAGAGAACCTTGTTGAGGAAGTGGTCATGGTTATTCTCACAGGATCTGGGACCAATATGGGTAGGATTGAACAGAAGAGGGGCTCTTTTCTTTTATGAGGAAATTCTTATAAATGCATAATCTCTTCCTCTGGTTACTAAATGCTGATTACTGCGTGCTGATTACTAAATGCAAACTGCTCACAAGCTCGTGTGTTGACAGTCCCCTTTAAAAAAGAGACTTAGTAAAGTATTCTGAACAGTCAGTATAAACCAGATATTTTCCACTGTCACACTCTTCTCCTGGGAAATCTTGTGCTTCAAACTTGGATTTGTTTTCCATATTTGTGATGAAATTTGAAATCTGGCTTTTCGTTTTCCCCCTCAGCTTGTTAGCGTGGCTGGTTGTGATCCAGCACTGCTGAGAATGTGAATTTATATGTTACCTCTTGCTCCCTCTGCGGGCTCCGTAGCAGAATGACATGAAATGCTGCAAGTTTGTTTCTATAAATTGTTGTTTGCTTTGCTTATCTGACTGCCAAGGTAACCTGTCTCTGTCTCATTTTTAAAATCACATCACTTTCTTATGGTACCTTGTAGTTCTTTGGGGTGAGATGCAACGCCTTGAAGCTTTTCTGTTTATCAGTTGGCATCTTCCTTCTCTTTCTAACCCTCTGTGTAGTATTGTTAACAGCAATTCAGATTTTCCTTGACAGCAGCTGTAATGATTCAAACGTTCTTGTCTTAAAGGATTTTACATCCGTTGCTGACAACTAGCAATAAAGATAGAAGTAAGTTTATTCCTTAAGAACAAAACTGATCTGAGATATGAGTTTAGCTGTGGTGATGCAAAATGTGCTGAAACCTTTACATACAGCATATATTCCATTCTATTCCTCTTCAGAAAATTGATCAGCCTACATTTGTTTTTGAAACAAATGTCCACATCTGGACATTTGGAGTCTCCAAGGGCAGTGCATCACCAGTCACTAGAAAGCTTAAGAGTGAGTATTAACATGAACCTTAACCCCTATATGAAGGGAGTCTTTACAGGGAGGGACCTACAATATATTTTTCTCTATCTTTTTGGTACATTTTCCACAATTACCCAAAAGACACGTTGGGGACTGTAGTCGATAGCAGGTACTTGTGTTCTGAAGGGATAAGGTGGAGTGGGCAAACATCAGTTCTTTCCTGCTGCTCCAGCTGTGAGACTGTACTTTAATCTTGAAAGGCTTAGAGACATTAGTGGATAAGAAGATTTTTTGTTTTCTTATTGTTTGGTTCATTTTCTTCAGTTTACCCTTTAAACATGGAGTGGGAACGAATAAGATAATCTGCCTTTGATTGCACATTGCTTGTTAGCTGTGGAAATCGCCAGCTTCATGGTAGCTGTGCCAATTTGGGAAGTACTCAGAGTTCACTCTTACACTATGGAATATGCAACAGAGGTTATGCAGCAGATGCTTTTACACTTGCATATAGTTAGAGCAATCAGTCCTTTTCTGTGCTTATTGTACCTTTTTACTGTTGCTGGTCCATCGTGTTTCAGAAGTTTTGTAATTGCCTCTGCCACAACAGGCTGCTATTTTCAGTTTTTCTCATATATTTTATAAATTTATCCTATACTTCTCATGTATATACACATGTGAATATATATCTGTATTTATGTGTTTCTCATATACATAGAGAAGAAGAGTTAAAAATGCCTCTGCAATTTGAATGGGTTAAATAGAACTATTTTAGGAATCAAAAGGCTTTAGAAAGCTGGTGTCTGAAAAGTTTTGAAGTGGTAGATGAATGAGAGAGGGTTTACATCCAGTCTGTATTTGGAACCAAAAGATGTGTATGGCTTTATGATTGGATTAGAGAAAGTAATTAGTACTTTATCTCAAGTCTAGCAGTTAGAGGAGAAGCTTGAATCTCCTCCCGTGTTTTTAGATTCCCTTACTTCCTAGTAACAATTAAATTTTTAATAAGAGGAAATTGGTAAGTGGTAGCTTTTTCTTGCATATTTCTGCTATCATACACTGTTTCTTTTAATTTGTTAAGAGTTAATATTACAGTTTAACATTGACTACTTTTCAGTCTTTCCTGCAGTTTCTTGAATGACATAATCTCTAGATTTGGTAGCAATGGGGCCTATGTTGGAAGCTCTGCAGATAAATTATTATGAGGGCTAAATTGTAAGAAGTGGAGTCTTCCGCAGTATATCACTAGCTTGGCCTTCTTCCTCGCCTCTGCTTGAAGTGATGATGACATATGACTGGCCACATAAAAAGCTGGTTTTTGAGTTAGCTGTCATGACTATCTATAGCTGTTTTAGTTTGAGCGGCTTTATGGTTCAGGAACTGAAGCAAGCAAGCAATCTGCTGTGGAAGATTACTTAGCTCTTGTCTTAGTTTTCTGGTACTACACTAAGGTCTCCACCCACAGAGACTGCTCATGCTGTGCTTTTAGGGACCGGTATCTATGGAAGGTTTCTGCTGTAACAATATTCCAATTTTTCTAGGCTGGTGTGAAATAAAAATAAAATGGGTTTTGCAGTTCCCTGTCTTTTTTTCTTGTATGTATTTGGAGAACTCATTTGTGGTGATTTGTGAAATACTGATACAATACTGCTATATATGATGTGATTGCAGGATCTTCCTTTTTATCACGTTTACTAAAAGGCAAAGCATGGTATTTTGACGTAGGCTTCCTGTTAATTACTGAGAATGAAATATCTTTGTGTAATGCCTCTGTACTTGGAGTGTAACCACTGAGGAATGATTAGCAAGAAAATTGGCCCTAAGATGACTTCTGGTTTTTAATTTGTTGAAATGGAAGTCAAATTTTTGTTGTCTAGTCAAAAGACTGTAGTAATTCTTAGTCAACATCTTTCAGCCCTCAAGCAGTTGCATTTAACTGATATAGCAGGATTCAGGTATTACTCATCCGTAAAGGACTGACACACTTCAAAATCTTACGTGGTCTTATCTTCAAGTAGGTGAAGTTAAATGTCTTCAGAATAGAGAATTTTGCAGTATGACTTGTGTGGTGCATTCTTGTAATCACTGTATATCTAAGGTGTACTAATAATGTTGTTAAACCTAGTACACTAGCAACTGCACCTTCAGTTTTTCTAGGATTTAATCATTGTGAGAATCAAATCCTGTAAAAGTGTTTAGCTTGCTTTCTGAGTGTTTGATGTAGTCAGCTTACATGAACTGTGTGCAGCTTGCATGTGGGAAGAGATAGTAAAGATTATCCTGCCTGGTTTCCTTGTGGTTTCTGTTTAGACATTGTTATTTTGGCATTTAAGATGATGTTTTTCTTCTTCCTCAGTTTCTAAGGGAAGATATGCAATACAAAGATGCCTCTAATAAACATAGTCACCTGCACAGAGAAGACAAACATATCACCATTGAGGATCTGTGGAAACGCTGGAAAACATCTGAAGGTAGGTAACGAAGAGTAGCTAAAAATGATGTTCGTTATTGATATAGACATAATTCAACAATTCTTCCACCAAGTTGTTTAGAGTAGTAAATGGCTGACCTTTTTTAAAGTATCTTTGTGAATTTGTTTTGGTACTGTTATTTTTAGGCATATGTAAACCTGACTAAAAACTCATTCGGTCCAGCTGGTGATAATTTCAGCTAGTGGTAAAATCCTCTTGACATGCTGAGTGTATAGTAAGTAAACTAAGGCAGCTTACACACTCGTCAGTATGAGATTGTAATTTATGAAGGTAACTGTTGCAAGTGCTGAATTCCAGGTAAGCATGTTTTTGATTCAGTAAGCCCTAAGGGCTGCTGTCAAGCTATTTTAAAATGTTTATTATACATTGCATTAAATGGAAAGTCTAATGTGCTTCTGCTTTGATGTAAACTTTCGTTGGGCTGCAAAGAGCTAGAATTCTTAGTCCAAAGCATTTTGGAAAATCTTTTTAAAGTTAGGACACAGGAAAATAGACTGACAACCCAATACACACATCTGTGACCTGCTTTAATTTGAATAAAATAAGTCAAATACTCCAAATACCACAAGTCAGTACTTAATGAGCAGTACAGTGTTCTTTGCCAAATATATTCCACAATGTAGTGATTAAAAAAGGAATTTCCAGAGGTCCGGAATGTTAAGAGTTGTTAGGAGAAAAATACTTAACTTTTTTTCCCCACACCATTCAAAAGTGTTGTGCTAATAGTGAGCATATAGAGATCTAAAAGTTGGTATTAGTCAAACAGCTAAAAGTAGGAACAGAAGAGAATAAATGCTTATTCAGTAAAGATCGTGTTCAATTAAAATACTGCAACTAAATTAGAGAGAATTATCTCCTTACAATTGTTTGTCTAACTTACGAGTAACTCTTCAAAAATGTAGGCTATAGCGATATCAGAAGTATCTAATTTGTCTGTTGTATATATCTTTGCTGCAGGTTTCTTGAATGTAGTGATCATTGTGAGTAAGACTCTAAAGATCTTGAGAGGAGTGTCTGGTCTTACTGGGTCTGCTTATAATGGCTTTACCTTGCATCCTGTTGAGGAGACACCCATGCAGTGTTATCAGTGGTCTGGCAACTCTTAGAAAGAAAACATGAAGCCTCTCAAATAATAAACTCCTTTCATTTAATATTATGAAACATGGGAAATACTGCTTTTCCTTTTCAGATGTTTTAGGACTTCTGATTTATTTGTTTCTTATGCGCTGCTAGTTTATAGTGCCAGTTTAATGCAATTTGACAGCATTAAACGAGGATGGAAGGTAGTGTAAATGATGGTATCAGTAATTTGAAACTCAGTTAAGTAGCCTGTTGGGGTATCTATGTGAGAATTACAAGCTCTAAATAGTGCCTTTGGCAATGCCCATTAGTGTTTATGCAGAAATGTCTTCTGGATCTATTGCTGCTTAGTTTTTGCTGAGTAGAATTGCCCAATCCTTCCGATAAAGCTTGCTTTATGTGGATGTTTGTCTTAAGTATTTGTCAAATAGCTTAAAGTTGCTTTCTGTTTAAGATATTGGTAATGTGAGACACATAAGATTCGAGGGTAGAAAGTGAAAGCATGGTTTATGGTATAGTAAGTTCACCATTGCTGTTTGGTGTCTCCTTTTAGGATTAAGAAAGACATTATTTTTAAGTAATTGCTTGAGAAGGATCTTATAGAGTGAATGGGCCCCTGAGGATTGGCTTCATTCAAAGCTTTAGAAATTGGCTAATAAAATAAAAGAAGCAGCTTCAGAATATTGCTTTTTTTAATATTTCTGGCACTTGGCAGGCTTTTGGCATCCCCACCTGGTGCAGAATCCTTAAGGCATAGTCTATACTGGTACAAATTAAAGGAATTTATAGGCAGTGCTATTTAACATCTTTGTCGGAGACATGGATGGTGGGATCAAGTGCACCCTCAGCAAATTTGCTGACGACACCAGCTGTGTGGTGTTGTGGACACGCTGGAGGGAAGGGATGCCATCCAGATGGACCTTGACAGGCTGGAGAGGTGGGCCTTTGAGAACCTCATGAAGTTCAACAAGGCCAAGTGCAAGGTCCTGCACGTGGGTCGGGGCAATCCCATGCACAAGTACAGGCCAGGTGGAGAATGGATTGAGAGCAGCCCTGAGGAAAAGGACTTGGGAGTGCTGGTGGATGAGAAGCTCAACATGAGCCAGCGATGTGCACTGGCAGCCAAGAAAGCCAACTGTGTAGTAGCGTTGCCCCTTGGGACTTGCTTTTGTAGCAAAGTAAAACTAGTGGTCAGATCTGGAGTTCATGAATGGTTTACTATTGCCCGGCTAATCTGAGTCCTACCAAAACCTACCTTTTACAAACTGCCTTAGAAGTAGTTTTTCTTTACCATTACGGCATATTTGACCTTTAATGTATAGCATGTCCTGTAGACTGTCCTATAATACAAAAAAGCTTCTCCCCTGCCTTGTGCGTACATGTTTTTTTCTTTAACTTTTTCCTTCTCTGCGGTAAGTAGAAGGTGACCTGAAGTCTGGTATCGTATTTATTAGGGGATAAAGATGAAAAATGGCTTTATGTTTGTATCTGTGATCGTCTGTTTTATTCTGAGGTTGCACAAGTGTTCTTGCAGCAACTGGGACTTAACTGCATACCACAAAGATGTTAATGGTTGCCTTCCACTTTCTTAATCGTTTGCTGTCTCAGGTTTTAAATATCCGGAGATCGGAGATGCCTGCAAGCAGGGCTTGGCTAAGGATGAGTTACATAATGCTGCGTGCTGTTCCAGGCAGGACCAGTACAGTACTGCAGACTGGCCCTTCTGCGTGAGAAGAAACAAGGGTTGTAATGTTAAACTGTTGAAGAGATAGTCAAGGTCACTCTATTTTGCCTTTTCATGCTATTTAAAAACCTACTGGTGGCAGCGCGTTTCATGCTGATGTTGCTTCTGAAGGTCCTGCTAGAATTCAAAATTAGTTTTATGTGTTTGATACAGAACAATCCTGTGTTTTTCTGTATTGCCTGGTCAGCCTGTTCTCAACTTTAAGCTTAGTATATGGCTGTCATTCACTCCTTGCCATGAAATACTCTTACCAAATGTAATTTGATTTCTGAAAGGAGCAGGAGGCCTGTAGGAGTGCTGGGGCTGATACTGTAATGATGTTTTACTTCATACCTCCCTGCCCTGAAGCACGGTGCTACATGATAAATTTAACATGAAAAATTGAGGTATAGCCTGATCTTCTAATCAGCCATTAATGTGCGTTAGCAAGGAGCAACTTTCATACAGAGCCAGCTCGAAGGTACTTTTGCTGTCCTCACCTTCAGGCATGTTGTTATAACAGATTTAAAAAAAAAAAAAGTAAAGAAACCAAACTTGCAACAGCTGTTCTATTTCGGATCACAAGTCTAGAGACTGTGTGTTGCACTGCAGTGTAAACATTGTGGCTGCTACACCTGCCTGCCCAAGGCATGTTGCTGACATCCTCTCTCTCAAGATAGCTATTTGTGAAAATAGGCGTGAGAGGAAAGGATATTCTGAGTACTGTTTAATGCTGTATGCATTTAACTTAAAGTAATTGTCAGTTGCTACTCCACTGTCTGAAGCACTATATTCTTTTTGGGTGTTTAAAGTGAGGAAAAATTACAACCTCAGCTAATCAGCAGGAGCTGTCATGGTCTAATTGGCAAAGCTGATTGAGCCGAATTTCAGCTGGCCTCCTTGACTTTCAGTACCCCTGGTGTATATCACTTGTGTCATGTTTCAGTAGGCTATAACTGCTTCTGCTGAAGAAAGGCCACTTTGCTTCTCCATACTGTGTGGTGTTGTGAAATGAACATGTATGTTGGTCATAAGGTCTCATTGAAGACAAGTCAAGCAATACTTCTTACCAATATATGGCATATAGAAGATACCAACAAGAAGGAACAGTCTGAACGTTTTCACTGATAAAAACCAGTCTCCCAGGAGTCTGCTGTGGTGCTGTAGGAAAGGGAGGGTGGGGTAGTTTAGAGTCTAGTTCCATCTGGAAGAGTTGGGGATTTGCAGGTACTGACACTGGAATTCCACTAATGCATTATTAGTTTCCATAATAAATCTAAATTTCTTGTGGAATATGTGCAGGGGCAGAGATTCAGAACGTGAAATCTCAGAATGAGAATTGACTGTCTGTATCAATTATGCTTAGCTTAGATGGTAAGTGGTCATTTAAAAGGACACAACATATACCAAAAAGTAATTGACACTGACTTTTATGTAAATTGGTAGCAGTGTAAGAAGAATACAGAAAGTGCAATTCCAATTCCAGTTTGGGATAGACTTTGGTTGCTTGTTTTTGCAGTTTCTGTACTAATAGAGGTATCTGATACAGTGATAATGAATAGTAAAGTGTTTTATCCTAAATATAACTAGTTCGTTTGGAGAGATTTTGTTGATATTCTATGAAGGAAACATCACACCCGTCTAAGTGGTAGAAGAGATGTGACTGACTCTACTGTAAACAACTTCAATAGGTGCCTCATTTCTTACATGATAATGTGTTTAAAATTAGTACCGAATTATCAAAACTACAAAATTATGTAAATTTTGACATAATGACTACAAAATACTTTCAGCAGTAGAAATTAAACTTCTTGATGGTCGTCCATGTCCTTGTCCCCGCCCCTCCAATTTATAAACTCACTGAATTGTGTGGCTTCTGAAATTGCATGTTCTGTACTGTCAGTGATAAAGTCTGTAGTGTGTAGTAGCTATTTTAGGGGATTTCTTCTGGTATCACATCAAAATTATGCTTTTCCTTTGGATCAGTTTATGAACATCTTTAAGAATCTATGCAATGTGAAAACGATCTGTTTACAAATAGAGTCCAGACATTTTGCATAAAAGCTTAGAGGAATGTGACAAAACTGAGAATGTTGCAAGATCAATACCTGGAAAACAGTTTGTGGCTCAAAAGCAGAGGAAGAAATGGGATAGCATGCTGGGAAGGAGATGTAGCCATTCATATGGATAGAATGCAATCGTTTGTAATGCGAGTTTATTTTTTAAAGCTGTAAGGGGGGATCTGTGAAATATGTTCTGTCTCCGGTTATCTGGAATGATGAAAATATGAAATGTTTAAGCTTATTTTTCAGCTATGCTGAGTGTAGACAAGAGACCTAGAAGTCTTCCGTTTTGGTGCAAACTGAAATATGAATTTGAACTGAAAAATTTCTGTTCCTTTCAGCAGCTCTTTCTAAAGGATCATTGTCAAAATTTTCTTAGAGTAGGGTATGTATTAGATACGAAAGGTTATATAGACTATTGCTGTTACACAGGAAAATTGTTAATTATTCTCTTCTCTGCTCCCCTTTTGTGGTTAGTAGGCATGACCCTCTATGGAGATTCTTGTGAAAACAAGTTCTTAAGCCATCATCCTGGGAAAGATCTTGCTACGTTTCCTTAAATGGCTACAGCACCTGCTGAGAAGGACAAAAGGATTGAGGCTGAGATCAGTTTAAGTAGATAAAAGTCACAAGATGCTGTTCTGATTTAAGCTATAACAAAACATTGAATTATTCTGTGGAATTTTTAATAAAGAAATGTTTCTATTGGTTTCATGTTGGTTTGTTTATAGTTTTCTTAAGTTTCCTCTGAGAAGCATCTAATGAAAGGCAAAATTCCAGAAACACCTTGGTGAATGTCAGTGCTAATTTTTTGCAGTTATATTTGGCTAAACTCTCTTGCTCACTGTAACCTACTCTTATACTGCTTATATTCTATGTCTTGCTATTGATTTTTACAAAAATTGAAGGCAATTAAACTGACTTTTTCTTCCAGTTCATAACTGGACTCAAGAGGACACTCTTCAGTGGCTGTCAGAATTTGTTGAACTGCCCCAATATGAAAAGAATTTTAGAGACAGCAATGTCAATGGAACAACGCTTCCCAGGTGAACATTTCTTCTGGATTAGTTTCAGATAATTCCCTGTAGTTTGCTGCTTCGGTCTGTATGTGGGAACAACCGTGTGAACTTAATGTTTAACAAGATATGGTCAAATGCGAGAAAAGAGAAGCGTCCTGGCAGTTGAGAAGAGCTGGCTGCATTGGCTTTCTTTTCTCTGCCGAAATATTTCAAAATGTAAATGCTTCTTGCCACTCCTTTTGTCTTAGTTTTGTTTCATGCTGTTGAAGCTTTTGCCGATGATCACATAATTCTGTATGGTAGTGAACTTTCTCTTGAACAGCTTCCAGTCTATTACATGGGTATACATAAAAAAACTATCTGCAGAGTCCCTTTTCTTGAGCATAACTATTAAATTTGAGTATTGCATGTATTTCAGAGAGGTGGCATCACAAGTCTGTAAATATACCATTACCTTTAACTATGCCAAATGTATTTATTTTATGATTATTCCAGAAAGAAAAGAACAGGGAAATGATTTGGTATTCTTCCTTTGCCACGTGGTGACACATTTTTTTTTTTATAGCACTACTGTCATTATATTATATCTCTCACTCTAATTGCATAACTATAATCTATGTAACTGTGGGAAATGCTATTGCTGTATTTCTTTCCACAGACTGATTTTAAGTGTAACTTGTGGAATAGGTAACATTTTGTTTTACCATTAACAGGATAGCAGTAAATGAACATGCTTTGATGATCTCTCACTTGAAAATAATTGACCGGAGCCATAGACAGAAGCTTCAGCTTAAAGCCTTGGATGTGGTTTTATTTGGACCTCTCACACGTTAGTAACTTTTTGGAGTTTTTCCTTATCTCTTATTTGAAAGAATTCAACAGAAAATACTTTCAGTGACACTGATACTGTAGATAGGACAGTTTATATGTTTTGTGGATGTACTGATGGATTGCTAGGCATGCATTGTGGAGCTAGGCAATGACTTAAGGTTATCAAAATGCTGAGATCAGGACAAAGGTTCACTTCTGTGTATAAAATTATATAGAAATTTTAGTATGACCTCTCTTGTCAGATGAGTGTTGGCTTTTGTGTCACAAGAAGTCTCCTCTAAAGGTTTTTGACTGTTTAAATTACCCTTATAGCTAATGTTACATTCACTTTGCAATTAGCTTGGACACCGTAAGGTGGGCTGCTGAATTGAGAGGGGATGACCTTCTCCAAGGAATAAAAAAAGGAGGTGGTGGTGCAAATCCAATACCAGAGTCTTTTGTGGAGACTCAAGTTTAAGTGCAATTAAATTTAATGTAGCAGTTCCACGTCTGACCCATTTTAGCATATACAGACATTTCCTTATCACATCCCCAGTCATCTGCAGCTTGCACACAGTTACAGATCTGTTGCAGTACTGTGCATGCTGAGTGTTCCTGAACTAGGAGGCCCTTCCAGAACTTGGTGGTCATTTTGGAGAGTAGTGAGTGACTTTGCAAAAGTCAGGCCAGATTTGAGCTGGCCTGACTGATCTGAGTTAGCCCGACAGATCTGAGCTGGAGATTTCTAGGGGGAAAAAAGCACTTTGCATTATACCTTTGGTGCTAGCAGAAACTATGTTTTAAAAGTTAGTTTTACACAGGTGCAAGTGACTGTAAAAGTTGTACTAACAAAGAAGTGTATATGCATCTTGGATATGATAGTTTGACTACCCAAGTTTTGCTTTTTAAACATGCTGCTATTAGCTACTTACCCTTTTAAAATCTACTTTATTTTGTTCAAACGAATTTTTATCTCAGCATAGAGTATTCCAGAGGGTGCAGACAGGGGAGAATTTACCAAACATAACTAAAGTTCCTACTGGCCTGATTAAAGTGTAACTGGGGAAACTCTCTCAACTCATTTAAATAAGGATACAGACTATGTACTGTAAAAGTTTATTAAGCTTTGCTCCATCTAATATATGTTTTAGTATAGATTAAATAGATTGTATTAGAGCAGAGTTGCTTCTGTTGTATGGAAAATGCTCTGGAATCCATCTGAAAGGTTAAAAGGTAGTTGTTGGAGATAGTTTGAGATAAATGAACTAATTAATGATCGTGTTATTCTCTGCACAGGTCCGCCTCACAACTGGATGAAGGATTTTATATTAACAGTTTCTATAGTTATTGGTTTTGGAGGCTGCTGGTTTGCATATACACAGAACAGAACCTCAAGAGAACATATCACAAAAATGATGAAGGACTTAGAAAGTCTCCAAACAGCAGAGCAAAGTCTTCTTGACTTGCAGGAAAGGTATAAAAACATTAATGTTTGGTTGTCCTTTTGTTTTGAGGTTAAATACAAATACAGATCCTTTACAGTCATAAATTATTTGCATTAAGCTGCCTTTGGATTTTGTTCATCTTCATTTTGCATGGAAATTGTGATTTCAGTAACAATGTTTTTTTTGGGTAGAAATTGCTCTTGGATAATTTAGCAGGCAATATGAACTTGAGAATGAAAGTAGAGAACAGAAGTTCAATCTTTTTTGCCTACAGATTTAGAAGTATATACTGTTATTTTCATATAATTACGGTTTACTTTGGAACACTTACATACATGGAAATGAGAACATTTCTCCTGTTTTTAAGCTCTTAAGATTGAAGCAGATTTTAACTGTTTACTTTCTATTGCTTATTTAGCAGTGTGAGTGTTGATATTCTTCTCTGGTGCACCTGTAACTCAGTTGTCTATAAAGATTTGTATTTTGATCTTACTACACCTTTAATGAAGGTTCACCTAAAAGTTCACGTATTTTGTCTGACATGGATGTCACACTATGTGATGTAATTGCTGCTGATTCATGGAGCTTGCACGGTCTTTATTAACACAGAATGGTTGAGGTTGGAAGGTACTTCTGGAGGTCACCTTGTCCAGCCCCATCTGCCCAAGCAGAATCATCTAGAACAGGTTGCCCCAGACCATGTCCAGGCAGCTTCTGAATATGTGCAAGGATGGAGACTCTACCACTTCCCTGGGCAACCTGTGTCAGTGCTCAGTCTCCCTTATTGTGAAAAAGTATTTCCTGATGTTCAGACGGAGCTTCTTGTGTTTTGGTTTGTGCCCATTGCCTCTTGCCCTGTTGCTGGACACATTTTCTTCTCCTGAGCACTGCAACTTGTAACAAATATGCTGTGTATTTTCTCATGTTTTTTGTTCAATTGTGAAGGCTTGAGAAGGCACAAGAAGAGAATAGAAATGTTGCTGTGGAAAAGCAAAATCTGGAGCGCAAAATGATGGATGAGATCAATGACGCAAAACGGGAAGCTCATCGCCTGAGGGAGTTGAGGGAGGGAGCTGAATGTGAGCTCAGCAGGCTCAAATATGCAGAGGAAGAGCTAGTACAGGTACCTGCAAACTGTTTATAATTTAATGTTGACTTGAAATTGTTTCTGGTTTTATTAGATCCTTAGGAGTGTTTAAAGCAGCATTTCTCTAATGCTTGATTTGAATGGAAAAATTCTAAGAGCTCTTAGTGATTGTCTGTCAATCATACCATTATGTAGTAAAATAATCCTGAAAGTATAAAAAGATATGTATATTAGCTTTGTATATTAGCTTATCATAATGTTGTTGGGTTTATGGAACAAAATATATATAAAAGCTTTTTTTCTATCTTGTTATCAGATGAAAGATAGTAGCTTTGTCTCAATCTTTTGAGTAGCAATAGATTGGATTTATTGTACTAAATAAATATGCTGTCTTATAAAAATATTTAAGCTTCAACATAGGGACTATATATTGTATAAAAAAGAATCTGAATATAATACAGTATGTGGAAATTCGTATGTTCTATTTCAGAAACGCCTAATCTGCCTTCCTGGCAGCAATTGGCACACACCAAAGCTCTGTAAAGCCTTGATATGTTGCTGTGGGGTATAAAGGTGCTTATATTTCACTTTCTTCTGCTGTCAATTCTAATGATACTCTTGGTGACACTTTTATTTCTTTTTGATTGTTAGGTTCGTATGGCTTTAAAAAAGGCTGAGAAGGAGTTTGAGCTGAGAAGTAATTGGTCTGTTCCTGAAGCTTTGCAGAAGTGGCTTCAGTTAACACATGAAGTTGAAGTACAATATTACAATATCAAAAGGCAGCACGCAGAAATGCAATTGGCAATTGCCAAAGATGAGGTACTAACTCTTACTCTTCAACTACTTAGACTGTTCTGATCTGTTGCTAGATATATGAAAGAGTAAATACAAATTGTTCAGATAAGCGTTTCGATATTTTTTCCTCTTCTGAGTTGTTGCTTCCTACCTGTTAATATTGCTAATGTTTTGTCGTCTGTGTTAAGTATAAAACTCCTAGCTTTATGCATTTCAATTTATCTTACTTTTTAGGCAGAAAAGATAAAAAAGAAGAGAAGCACTGTCTTTGGAACATTACATGTTGCACACAGCTCCTCCCTAGATGAAGTGGACCATAAAATCCTTGAAGCAAAGTAAGAGTATTACCAGGATACATATTCTTTTGTGACTACTTATTCCTGGAACCGTGGAATTTTTTGAGATACGGAATTTAGTGTCTTAGTGGTTTTCCACTTTTAAGCAAAACAGATTAAAAGATATTAAACTGTGAATGTTTTAAACAGTCCTAACAGATCTTCTGCTATGCTGAAATAACTGCAGTTGCCTTGCTGTGCTTTATCATTATGAACAGTGCATGTAGTTTTAATGTGTGCTTTTCTTCAGGAAAGCCCTCTCCGAGTTGACGACGTGTTTGCGAGAGCGTCTTTATCGATGGCAACAGATTGAGAAGATTTGTGGTTTTCAAATAGCACACAATTCTGGGCTACCTAGCTTGACTTCCTCTCTCTACTCTGATCACAGCTGGGTAGTTATGCCTCGAGTTTCCATTCCTCCTTACCCAATTGCAGGGGGAGTTGATGATTTAGATGAAGATACTCCTCCAATAGTTTCACAGTTTCATGGTAAGTGGTGCGCTCAACAAAAATAAAGGGGAAAAGCTGTGGAGGCATGGGATTTTAAAGTGAGGAGGGAGAAGACTGGTGAAATCGAACAGGACTGGATCGAAGTCCAAAGGACCAAAATTCTATCTAGCGTTTTATATGCATGTTTTGGGACTTGCATAAACTGAAAACTTGCAATAACGATAACAGGAAGAAAAGCCTTTATTCTGTTTCAGTCAGGAGACGGGACAAATCTAGCTACAGTTTTGGAAGTCTGCTTGTCATGCTTAGATTGCCACTTAGACAAAAATTTATAATGATTAATGCTGAATTTCTGTTGGCGCATTTGTTATTTCAGATGGAAGGGGTGGGGTTAGTCTAGTGTCCCTTAAGCTACTAGGAAGATCACACCCTTTAGGGTCTGCATGCTACATAGCTTTTCAAACATTCTTTAGTGACTGGAACAAAATCCCCTTGTCCAAGAGAAGCTTTCAGGCAGAATGTGTTTGCATACAGTGGGTTGTTTGATCGTGAGGCAGAGGCGCCAAATGCTGGAGGGAGGGAGGGAGGGAGGGAAATCTAGCTTTGATTAAAAGATACACACTGGGGATTCAGACCACCCTTGTGTCTTGAGTCATGGCATCAAGTTGGAAGTTGTGATTAACAGGACTTTAGAGGCAAATCAAAAAGATGAGCTTCCATGTAGCTATTTGAACAAATTGCGTCAAGCTGAGGAATGAGTAGGGAAGAAAACTTTGTCATGTATGTACGTTTTTCTTTCAGGGCTGGGGTTCTTAGAAGAAATTAGAACTGTATTTTAAAATTGCATAAGAGGAATGGTCACCACTTTGCTGGTTTCATTTAGTAGGCCTTGGGCACATGTTTTTCTTCTGAATGTACCAACCTTTTTTGTGCAGGCTACCTTAAAAAGTGTGTTAATCTCCTTGCAAAACTAACTGCAAGTTCTAATCACTTTTAAAGAATACTATTTCTCTAGTAGCCTTCACTATGAAGGCTTTGATTTAAACTTTAGCAACAAATTTCTTGGATGACCCAGTAAAATATGGATGCCTAGAGTTAAACTTCCAAGTCTGTATGGAGGAACCTGTGGTCTGATTTCGGTATGAAGAGCTCCGTTTATTATCACGACTTTCTAGGTGGTCTAAGATGACAGAACACTTAGATATTTATAGAAGACTACAGACTTGTGATTTTTTTTTTTTAATCACTCTTCTCATTCAGGTCTTGCATAGAAGTGAAGCCAGAGAGCAAAGTGCAGTTGGTTCAGAGGAACCAACTCTCTGATTAGAGAAGGACTGTACAGTTTGTAAGAGCATACTTAGTTGAAACTTTAGTGTAAGCTTTTGCAATTATGGTTTAATTTTTTTGTTGCAATTCAGTTCATTTGGAAGTATTTAGCTAATCGATGTTGTCTCAGTCAATGATGACAGTTATCTGAATCTTAGTAACATCACAAAAGCTTTAAATATGTTTTTCTGAATTTTGATAAGGCATGAGAGCCTGACTTTTTTAAGATGATCACATGAGGGAAGCAGCTTCTCCTTAATTTACTAGTTTTTAAAAAGTCTGCTCAGTAAAAAAAAACTGAAAACACTTGAGACTGTGGAAAGAGGGAAAACATGCTAAATGGTCTGTTGAAACCAGTTGAGGAGTCAAATTATCGTGGGTTAGTTTGATAACTGCTAAATTATTCCCATCCTTTAGACAAAAATGACAAGTGCACATGAGGAAGGACAGAAACAAAATGGCTTGTCTCATGAGGCTTCAGGCGAAATGCGGTGTGCAGACAGGTCAGTTATGAGCAAGACCGTTTCAGTCTCTGGACCTAAGCTGAACTGTCTGGGCTGTTACCTCGCCTCAGCATCCTTTGATCTCTTAAGACTGACAAAATTTGAAGTCTACCAGACAGGCTTCTTTGTGTTGCAGCAATTGGGGTGGTAGGCTAAATGGTGTGAAGTAATAGATGCGTTTAATCAATTCTGAACCAAAGAACGAAACGGGATAAAGAAATAGATGCATGAGACTGGAATGACATCATTACAGGCAGGTGATGGTGAAACTTCTACTTTTCCATTGACTGATTAGGATTCAGCTGATTCCTTGATTTAGTGAGTTTCACTTGTACCAGAAAATTCTAGAGATTTAACTGTCATAGCTGAATCCTTCATAATCTTATGTATATACACCTACACCAAATGCTTGTAACTTCTCTTAAAATTTACTGATGGTGCAGTCTTGTTCTTTCTTTAAACCAGCGAGTAGGATGACATCCGATTTACCTGGACACACAGTACAAATTTCCTAATGGAAATCTTATTCTTTTATCTCGGTTCACGTTTGCTTTTTTTAGGGGTATTTTTGTAATGACACAAGCTTATTTTTGAACTGCTAAACACCTACTTTTCAGGTCAGGAAGGATTTCATCAAAAGTAAAATCTAAAGTTTGAGTTACGTGATAACTGTCATACTGGGACTTGTAAACTCTTCATTTTCTACTCAGCCTGGCAGGAGACAATGTCTAAGTGTTGGCGAAGGTGCAGCTACTTGCTGTTTTGTGAAAGTTGTGATTTCCTACACTAAAAGCAGAATGACAACTCAACCTTTTCTGAGATTCCAGGAAAGGAAACTGTAATTTACCTGATACTAAACTGGCATCTGAGAAAATAAAATGCATTTTGTCAGGCTAGACATCCTTGTCTACAAAAATAACTGAATTTTTCTTAGTGCATTATGTTTGGTCTACATTTTGAAGATCAGTAAGGGTATGGTCTTTCTTATCAAAGCAGTGATGGATTCTGTGGGAGAGTTTGAGGAAGGATATGAGAAATCTTGAGACTCATCATAGCTAGCCTGAAAACAGGTCTGTAGGTTTATTTCCATACAAGTATTGCTGCCCAATCATCTTTTGAAGGAAGAATTGGATTTAAGAACATTTTAGTTTGTCACTTCCTGTTAGATACTTTCCTGGTCAAGTCTTGTGTTGCTGTCTCCACCTGTTATTAGTATTTTTGTTTCCAGAAATTCAGTTAGCCTGGTAAAAGAAAGTGTTATCAAATAGAAAATTCATGAGTTTAAAATGAGATTGAATTATATATTTTTGATAGTGATATAGGAATGAAATTGATCTTCCATGTCTAATGTAACTTTCAACTCATACAGTGTATTTCAGTTGGCTGTTTGGTTAGGCATACCTACATTGCAGAACTTTTTCTTGTATTCTTTTAAGCTCTAAATTGCCACATAAGTAAAATATAGGATATTGTGTAACATACTAATTTCAGCACTGCTATTTTTAGTTTATAAAAGGGTCAGGAGTTTCAGTAGAATCTTTTTCTTTGCTCTCAAGAGAGCATAGTGAGCCAGAGCTTTGGTGCACATCGTCAGAGTAGTATTTGGCAGGCATGAAACTGCTGCAATTGCCTCATTTTTAGCTGCTCTTCTAACTGTAGAATGTGTCAGGTGATGCATCTTTCTTCCCTCTAAACAGTCGAGCAATGTCAAAGTTGTTTAAGAATCACTGTGGCTGAAACAGATGCCTGCTGTTTAGTCTTCAGAGTAGAAAATGTTAACATCAATGTCACTTGGAGGGTTTTGGTTTGCTTTTTCTTTACCTCAGGGTCCATTGTAAAACCTCCCAGCACACTGGCAAGAAGCAGTAGCTTGTGTCGATCAAGACGCAATGTTGTGCCATCATCTCCACAGTCTCAGCATGCTTTGCACTCCCCTGACCCTGACATCCTTTCTGTGTCGAGCTGCCCAGCTCTTTATCGAACTGAAGAGGAGGAGGAAGCCATTTACTTCTCTGCTGATAAACAATGGTACGGAGATTAGCAAACAGCACTTGGAACTCTGATAGGATTATTTGAGACTAACAGTTTAGAATTAGAGGTTGAACCAAGCCAAAAGTTAATGTAATCTGTAGGATAATATAAATTAATATAGTCCACATGGAACAGAGAGAGTTCTTGTCTGGTATGTGTATGTAAATAGCTAGCATGTCATATACAGTTAAGTAATGTTACAATCCAGGGTGCACTGAACTAACCCTGATTCTCCATTACAATATGTTACTGGCTTTTACATCTGAAACTAGGATCAAAAGCAATGTCAGCTACTGGGCGAAGAGAAGATGGATGGTAACACAATTCTTACAGCATGTTGAGCGTGTACCTACTCTTGTTACATGGCCTCATAGGAAAAGGTTAAATTCCTTTTGGAAGGAGCAAATGAGCTTGTTGAAAGGTAGGGACACTTGTCCTGAAGGAACTTTTTGTTTATGATAGGCTTAAATCTCCGTCTTTCACTTCATAACTTTCCTGACTTCACGTGCCAGAAAGATAGTTTTTGTTCTTTGAAGCAAGATACAAATGACCGATTCTGGGCAGATGCTGCTGCCCACAAAAACAAGATCGCACAATTTAAATACTTTAAGTTTAGACAATAAAATGATGTAATGCAAGTTGTAAGTTAAAATGTTTACCTTTATATGTTTTTGTTAATTAACTACTAAGGAAAAGTGTGGGTGGTGCTTTTAGACTAATGTTATTGATTCTGAATTAATTTCCTTTTTAACTGCATGAAGGAAATAGTAGTTTCATAATGTTTTCTCCTCTCTCTGCTCTGACTCAGGGAAGTACAGGAAACAGGTTCGGAATGTGACTCCTTAAATTCATCCACTGGAAGGAAGCAGTCTCCTCCAGCAAGTCTTGAGATGTACCAGACGCTTTCTCCTCAGAAAGCATCCCCGGAAGAATTCTCACTGGAGGAATCATCTACAGGAGACTCCTCTTCTCTAACTGCAGATATTTCTAGGGGCTCTCCTGACTGTGTAGGCATGGCAGAAACTAAGAGCATGATCTTTAGTCCTGCAAGCAAGGTTTATAATGGAATCCTGGAGAAGTCCTGCAGCATGAACCAGCTTTCAACTGGGATCCCAGTCCCAAAGGCTCGACACACCTCATGTTCTTCAGCCAGCAGTGATAGTAAACCCAGCCATGAAGCTGCTTCTGTCCCTAGGATAAGTAGCATCCCGCAGGACCTGTACCAAAATGGTGAAAAAAACAAAAAGCCATCAAAAATAAAAAGCCTCTTTAAGAAGAAGTGTAAGTGAGGTGGGCAGAAGAAACCTATAGTAATGTTATAAGAACTCTGTTTTTTTAAATCTTTAGGAATGTAATTCCATTTGAGCATTCCAGACTGGATGCCCTAATGGAATGCTCCGTAGTTCAACTATATTTAACTGACTGTATTGTCAAAGGTCGTGCCAGCTGTCAATGAGAAATCATTAAAAAGTTCAGACAGTTTACATTCATTTCTGCCTATTTATTTCCTTTTTTTAGTCTGTCTTTTTTAGTGTGGGTTTTTTGTTGTTGTTGTTTGAGGGTTTTTTTGTGGGTTGTTTTTTTTTGTGGGTTTTTAGTTTATTCATAAACCATTTTTAAGCCACTTTGGACTTCTAAGCTTTAATGGACTAGTAAGCCTTCCTGGGCTTGCCAAAGTTTCTTGTTTACTGGAGCATCTTCCTATCTTTCCATAGAGCTAGGACATTTATCTACTGGACTTTAAGAAAAACAGAAGAAGTAGAACTAACTGAATTGCACTACTGTTTTACAGACTGGAGAAGTCTCTCTGCAAGTGAAACTGAAAGACTTGTGTTTGAGAAGATGAATCTTTTCACTTTTAGATCTTTTGGGGTTTTTAAGTAGAATTTAGGATTTCTAATTGACTTGATTTCTGGAAATGGAAATGCCATGCTTTTATTATGGGAAGCTTTGTTAGATGCATTTATTATTAGAATGGTTCAAGTCCTGCTGTAAAGATCATGTTTTTCCCAGGACTTTCACTGTGATTTTACTTCACTGCAGGCTGTATGACAAAAAAAAAAAGTAATTTAACAAGAGAAGAGGCTCTTGATTCCTTATGCAAGTGATGGATATGAAACTTGACTGAGGACTGAAAATATTCACCCTCTTAAAATGAGGAGGGGGATAGTAGCTTTTGTTTACAGACTGACAGACAATGGACATACGGTTTATGAAAGTTTGTACTGTGGTAAAGATAATAAATTGGAAACATTATTGTGCTTGAGAATGTTCCAATTTTAACTGATGCTTGTTTCAGACATGTTTCAGAGGTTAATTGAAAGCTGTTGTGGGCTACATTGCTTATGCTTACTGCTGTGTATAAGTTGTTATATTTTTTGGATTAGCTATTAATGTCTTAATGTCCTCCTTTTGTAAGATTTCATACACTTTATTTTTGTATAGTTTGAAGATTCAGCTGTTCAGACATGCCTGAAGTAAATGGTATAATTTTATAATGCATACTGTTATACTAACTCATAATTTTAGATATAAAGATAGATATAAAGGTGAGACTTGACATGCTTCAGATAGAAGGAATTTTTATGTTCAGCTTTTGTAGGTGGAGGTGAAATTACTATGAGATAACAAGGAAGCCTTTTAGAGCAATGGTAGCTAGTTGTTCAAAAACATCTTTTTTTTTTTTTTTTTAAACAGTTGGAGATGACAAATGTACTGCTTGAGCAACAGTGCCTTTTATTCAGTTTGTCTGAAAATATTAATACTGAGCAGGAATTTCTTTTGAGGTACATTCCAAAGAAATACTTCTTGCTCTAGTGAACACAAGCAATTTACCCAGTGATGACTAAATAGTTTCAGCTCTTCCATAGGGGTATTCTAGTTGCCTCAGTAACAGGTGCCACTGCCAGGGACCTGTGATTAGGGGCTCACTCGTTGCCAATATGTACATGGTGTACTGTATGAAAGAATTAATTCACTGACTGCTTAAATTTTTTTCTAGTAAGGAGCCTTCAAAACATGTAGCTAATTGAAATAAAGTAATACATGTTTTTTCTATCACTTTCTATTTAGATTTCACTGTACATAACTGATGTTTTAGTTCTGTTCTGAAAAAGTGGTGATGATGTCAGCAGAAGCATTTACTGTGGGTAGTGAAACGATTAGAAGAGGAGGGTTGGAAAATGGGATGGAGACCTTACATGTGCAAGTACCTTAAAAGTCCTCGTACATTGATTCCTTAAAAGAACAGAAGGAATCCAGGGTTTTACTGTCTAACAGAGAATCATTGTATGTCATGTATACAGAAAAGCATAGGGGGAATCAACTGTTTGGTAAAGTTTGGAGAAGAGAAAAATTGGTGGAATTAGAAAATAATGAGAAGATGATATTGTTCCATTGTCCTCTGAATCATCAGATTGAACAGCTATAGCTGCAAAAAAAAAAATCATCACAAGGTAACAATGGTCTCTTTGAACAGATTGTGCACTCTATACATGGCAGACAAAAAAAAAAAAAGCAGTGATGCAAAAAGACTTGTGCCAGAGAACCACCTCAGTGCAGAGCCTTCAGAGTTGTAGTTAAAAGCCTGATGAAGTACTTGAACATTACAAAGGGGGAAAAAAATACATAAAAGTAGGGAATTTATTTTCCTTCTCAAACAGCATGGAGAAGACTACTACCAGAGAAAGGTTTGATTTTGATGTATGCACTTGAGAAGGCTATAGCAATAGTTGAGTTTAAAGTAAGATCTGGGGCTGGATGGTAGATCTTGCAGTGTGAGGTTTGAGGAACTCTTGTCACTACCAAAGATGATGAAGTGGCATTTTGATACTTAAGGGTAAATATTTACACATGGAAAAAAAGAAATCTGGTTCTGAAGAGTAGGAGGACAGCACTTCTTAATCCTGCCATCAAAGTCAGGCAAGCTCAAATACTGAGAAGCCAAAACAGAGAAATTCAGTTTTCTGTACTAAGTATAACTAAAAATTGAAATAGAGGATGTGTTGGACTCTTCGTTGGCTGAGTTTTTAAGTGTTAAATATCTTTTAAAAATACACAATTTAACTGTCTTCTGGAAAAATAAATGTTATGGCATTATACAAACAAATCAGATGAGATTATCATAGTGATAGATTTTGGCTTCAATATGGCAAACCTTTGGAGCACAGACTGCTCTCAACCTTCAGTTTATCACCAACTGTGCTGTAACTTTATAGCTGCTGCTTAATAAATATGACAGAAGTAAAAGCTTAAGTTCAGAAGCGGTGAGTATTGTATGTTGGAGCACAAACTGTAATTTTAAGTCCATAGAGTTGAGGGTTTTTTATTATTTTGATAGACCCCTTGCGCGTTTTGCCGCCTAAATTTGTCCACAATCTCAATGACTTGCATTGCTCCTACTATGGCTACTGCAGAAATGCTCGTCTTTAAACTGTTAGCATCCTTTTGCTAAGGTATGTTGAGAGCCCTGACCCTAAGGTAGATGCTCACTGGCAAACATTAAATCTAGTCTTACTCTTGAAGTACCTGGCGTATGTCAACATCTCAGAAGTGAGGCAGTGTGCTTTAAAAGGTCCTCTGTTTTCCCTCTGTTTGCTGAAGTGTAACTTGAACTGGCTGGCAGTCGATGAGTCCAGCCAGCATTCCAACCACTGATATTCCTGTAAGACATATCAGTCATTTGAGACAATTATCTAGTGTCATCACCCGTAAATGGCTGAGGACTTCCTAGGCTCTAAAGTCAGAATGGTTGTGATCAGAGTATTTTTTTTTATTATTCTCCAGTGTTTTTCAGAAGACTAGGATCTTTGCTTTCTTCAATATTTTGTTAAGAGTCGTTTGTCAGGACAGCAGCCCCTTTGTGGAAACTGCCTAAAAGGCTTCTCCCTGAAGACGTTACCACTTAAATCCTTCACCTGTAAAAGGAAGAGGTGTCAAGTATGTAGTTATTCATAAAGAAGGAAAAAAAAACCCTCACTTCTTCCAAAACCGAACAAACCCAGACCATTCCACAATTCTTACTAAAATTATGTGACACTTCTTTCCTAATAGCATAAAAATTTTAGGAAAGATGTTTCTGGTTGCCATGGGGAATGCTTTTGACCAGCTTATGGTGGGCTTTACAATTAAAGTAGTTGATTCTTTTTCCCTGCTCAGTGATGGAATTTAAAATTGCTCATTGGCAGTTCCAGGCATATATCAACTTTTCTTTTTGCACTTCACTGGTACCTAGGTAGCAGATTACCCTCCACTTTCTGATGACAATTTGCTGAGAGAGGGAAGATTCTCCATTATAGTCAAGGTAATAATGTTAAGAATACAGTTCCTGATTTGGAAGCCTTGAAGATGGTGAAGCCAAGGATATTTGACTTCAGTTTTCTTATTATTTTTATGGATGCTAGCTTGAGTTAGGCATTAACTTACAATTGACTGAAAGCCTAAAAAGATAAGATTAATCAGAAATTGAAGCTTTCAAGATTTTGCCCTTTTGTTTCCCAATATACAGGAAACACAGGAGAGAGATGAGCTCTAATGAGATGAGCCTTTCTGCTACCACCAGCTTTTTAGAGCTTGAGGATAGTTTCATTCCGTTTCCGTTTTTTGCTAGAGAGGGATTACTACCTTAGTTTTATAAAGGTAGGCAAAGAAGCATTTATTTTTCATTTACTCACAAGCAGGGGAGAAGAATGCAAATAAACTGAATGCTTAACTTGAAAGAAATAATATTTTTTTGGAAGCCAAATAGAGGAATTACTGGTTCTTGGACCTGTTTACTATTTGCTTATCTAACCTTGTACAATATGTTAAGTAGGATGAACATGTTTTTCTAATCTGTTCCAGTTGCACTGGCTAAAGTGATGCATTACTATCTCATGTTTGAAACATGGCTTGCTCAGAATTGCTGTAAGCATTTTAATCCTGGATGTTGCATCTTCACTGAATAATGGTTAAGCCTACCAAGTCTGTTTGATTCTAAGTGCTGGTAAACTTTACTAGTGACTTAAACACAGATGTTGGTATAACCAATAACTGAAAAAGGCTTTTGCCAGTAGAGTTTGACTGCCTGACAGCATGTAAATGTTTAGGTAACCATTCTTTGAGGCTTTGGTAGCAGTTCAACAGTGTAATATACGTTTTCAGCAGATAGCTAGCTTTCCCATCCAGCCCTGTAGAGATAGTGCTGATCTGAAACTCCACTTAGTCCTCTCTTGCATAAACAAAATGCATCAATTCATTATACATTTATGATTAAGATTATTAACCTTTAAACTGTTATTCCCTGAGATTACTTATGCAAGATGGTAGTACTTATCAGTCCACTTCAGTCTTTCAGAAATAAAATGGATTTCTGTTACCTTTTTTTTCTCTAAAACTTTGGATCTCAAGTCTACCAAATGATGTGTGTGTGCTGTGTATTTAATGCTTCACTGAAATGAAAATGGGAAGATTGATCTCTACTTAGATTTTAAAGAAAACACATTTCAGTAGGGTAAAAA